AATAAAGAATGAGGTGGATGAAGTCTATCTAAAACTAAAATTAAAAATTGTGAATTTTCATGATATGAATTACCCACTGGTTCCTTAGTTTACAATTCCAACCACTACTGCTTTGTTTTGAATAGAGTAGGGAAAGAGTAGCTCTTCTGTCAAGTTCCTATAGATGTTGGGGTCTCAACTGGGGAAATTTCCTCTCACTTCCTGTCTTTGTCACTGGGACAAATGGCAATAAAAACCTTGGAAACAAGTTTGTATTGGTTGACCACCATCAGAGGAGAAAATGCTAATAGTATCTCAATATAACACCGAAAACCTTCAATACATTTATATGATAATAATTGGTCGGGGGACAGCCAGAACCAATACAATGTGAAAAGAGGACATAGGAAAACATTGACTTATTTTATCTTACGGACCCAAGAAGAATATGTTACAAAAATTTACATAAAATTGTTGAAATGGTTTATTTGATAAATCTAAAAGCCTATGTAAACTATCTCAATAATATCTCAATAATATAAATGATACTAGTAGTGTAAAGTATGCCACATATATAGTCATCTATCCCAATCTAATGACTGATATTATAGCTTCTGTATCTATCCAAATATATCTTAAACAGACATATAGAAATATTTCAATCTCTCAACAAATCTAGCACTGTAGCAGGCTCCAGGTTAAACGTCTTCACAAGGGTTCTTATAATGGATGCAACGTTGAAAATATTAGGTCGACGTTCAAGTGCTACAGTGCGAGATGAAGGCCAGGTCAAGTTGCTGCAAAGAGGTGATGCTGACTCTCAGCCCTATTGAAGGCTACAAAGACCTTCTCTTCCCGATAACAATAAATACTACTACTCATGCCCTGGAGAAGAGGGAGTCCAATTTCCCCGAAACACGTTGACTGCATGAGACATTTCTGTTCAAACAAACCTCCAAGTGGGGTTTTTGCCAGGCCCTCCTAGCCACATATCTAGGAGTTTACCTAGATGAGTGATCTGCCTATTGCATAGAGGCAGTACATCCGAACACCAGGTCCACAAGCAGGTCCAACACACCAGGTCCACACACATCACTGTTATCATGGGTTTACCCCCTCCAAGGAGCACTCCCCCATCTCTTGTTGGATTTACAGTAAAACAATTTCCATCCTTTCCGGTCCAGGGCTACCACAATCTACCACTACTCTATCCTGACTGCAACAACAGGTAGGAGACGTTGGGGACACCGGGATAGGGATATCACAACAGACCCAAAGACACATGTGAAACCAGTGAGCAGTTCATCCTATTGGCCAATTCTGACCCTACAGGCTTAGTCAAATATAAATATCAGATAATCTTTTCCCGAATGGTACCAGATTAAATGTATGAAGGAAAAAATATATAAATATATATGCTTTAAATATATATTTTTGTAAATGTTTTCAGCCTCTGGTTTTAGGCAGGGTTCACAGTATAGTGGACAAACAAAACAAAAAAAAGGAGCCGTGAAATGCAAATAAACAGCTGCTGGAGGGGTAAAGCGCTCTGGCAGCTGTCCGTTTGCATCACACTGCTCCTTTTTTTTGTTTTGTTTTGTACAAACTTTATTTGACATGTATAAAATATACACTTCATTCTGTATGATGTGCTGTTATAATATGTAACATGGCTGCATTGCAGTGTGAATGGGACACACAGGAAACAATTGTTTCCATGCGCTGACCCACGTTTTAACAGTGCTCTAACATGCAGGTCAGCGCAGTAGTGTAAATTGGCCCTTGGAACCAGGTAGTAAAACAATCAAAATGAAGTTTTCAAATTAATATGGTATAATATATGTAGAATGTAATGTACTGTATATAATGTATAATATAGACTGTAAAATATGTAATATATGAATAATAGTATAATATACAGTATATGTATAATGCTATAACATATGTATGATGTATAATATATAATAATGTATAATACACTACTCAAAAAAATTAAGGGAACACTTTTTAATCACAGTATAGCATCAAGTCAATTAAACTCCTTGGATATTGATCTGGTCAGTTAAGTCAGAGGGGGTTGTTAATCATTTTCAGCTGTTTTTGTGTTAATGAAATGAACAACAGGTGAACTAGATGGGCAACAATGAGACGACCCCCAAAACAGGAACGGTTTTACAGGTGGATGCCATTGACATTTTTTTTTCCCTATTCATCTTTTCGGACTGCTTTTCACTAGTTTTCCATTTGGCTAGGGTCAGTGTCACTACTGGTAGCATGAGGCGATACCTAGACCCTAAATAATAAAAGTGCACATGCGCTAATGGATGTGCCACAATCAACAAAAGAAATGAACCTTTTGCAGAAGTCCTCTACTTGTGTTCAAATGTCACAATGAAATTGTAATAGGAAAAACAAATGGACCATGCATAATCAAACATATGCATATGTCCAACATAACATAAAGCAGTCCCAAATTAGTGAAACAAGTGAATATGCTTGTGCTCAACCTATTTTCTATATCTTGATTGACAAATCATCTCCAAAATGGTTCCACTGTGCTCGACAAAAGTGCCCCACTTGGACTGACACTCACCCCTATCCAATGACCATCTATGTCTAGAATGGTCCTTCATGCTTTAGGGACATTCCCCAGGGATCGGTTGTCTCCAGATCCTGGGCCTGTGACCATCTATCCCCGAGGTGGTCCGTTTTGCTTTGCGGGACAATTTCCAAAGGGCCAGTTGTCTCCACACCCCCGCAAGTTAAGAAAAAAGTATATCACCATATACACAGGAAAAAGAGGGGACATTCCATAGTGTAAAACTGTATAGTATATTTATTGGGGGCAAATTGTAAAAAAATACACTCACAAGAGAAGCGCCTAGGCCCAGCACCTGGTGTACTCAGCTTTGTTACTCCTACAAATGGAAGCTGCTAGACTAAACACTCCACGGAGCGGCATGCGTTCCACAGGGAAGATGTGACATCTCCAGAAGTTGCGTCATCAAACCTTGACGCATTTTGATACAAGATTGTCCTCATGAAGTGCAAAATCCGCCATTTTGGTAATGGTATTTATACCCTTCGGCCAGATATTAGTTTGATACAACTACCCGCAACATTGCTCAGTGTTACACATTCATGGGCTTCATATTAATTATTGCTGACATTACTCAAGCCTAACCCGTAAATGCAAGCTAAAATAATAACAATAAAAATAATAAACTAAGTGAACCTTCCATGTTATATCACAAGCACTATCTCCTTAAAGGGGAACCAGCTCAAATAAAATAGACCCAAAAAGGTTCATAAAATAGGTATTCTATATTTCTACACATATAAAATTCCTAACCCTAAATAAATAAACATGAAGCTGTAATAAATGAAATAGCCTCAGTGATACCAGGACCCTACAGAGGTTGCACAGGCAGTCCAACTCCTCCAGGATGGCACATCAATACGTGCCATTGCCAGAAGGTTTGCTGTGTCCCCCAGCACAGTCTCAAGAGCATGGAGGAGATTCCAGGAGACAGGCAGATACTCTAGGAGAGCTGGACAGGGCCATAGAAGGTCCACCCATCAGCAGGACTGGTATCTGCTCCTTTGTGCAAGGAGGAACAGGTTGAGCACTGCCAGAGCCCTACAAAATGACCTCCAGCAGGCCAATGGTGTGAATGTCTCTGACCAATCAGAAACAGACTTCATGAGGGTGGCCTGAGGGCCTGACATCCTCTAATGGGCCCCATGCTCACTGCCCAGCACCAGAACTCGATTGAAATTTGTCATTGAACACCAGAACTGGCAGGTCCACCACTGGTACCCTATGCTTTTCACAGATGAGAGCAGGGTCACCCTGAGCACATGTGACAGACATGAAAGGGTCTGGAGAAGCTGTGAAGAATGTTATGCTGCCTGTAACATCGTTCAGCATGACCGTTTTGGTGGATGGACAGTGATGGTCTGGAGAGACATATTCATGGAGGGATGCCCAGACCTCTACAGGCTAGACAATGGCACCCTGACTGCCATTAGGTATCAGAATAAAATCCTTGGACCCATTGTCAGACCCTACGCTGGTGCAGTGGGTCCTGGGTTCCTCCTGGTCCACGGCAATGCCAGGCCTCGTAGCGAGAGTATGCAGGCAGTTCCTGGAGGATGAAGGAATTGATACCATTGAATGGCCCTCCACGCTTGCCTGACCTAAATCTAATAGAACACCTCTGGGATATCATGTTTCGGTCCATCTGACGACGCCAGGTTGCACCTCAGACTGTCCAGGAGCTCAGTGATGCCCTGGTCAAGATCTGGAAGGAAATACCACAAGATACCATCCGCCGTCTCATTAGGAGCATGTCCCGACGTTATCAGGCATGCATACAAGCAAGTGGGGGCCATACAAACTACTGAGGACCATTTTGAGTTGCTGCAATGAAATTTCAGCAAACTGGACTAGCCTGCTGCATCATTTTTTCACTTTGATTTTCGGGGTGTCTTTGAATTCAGTCCTCTGTAGGTTGATAATTTTCATTTCCATCAAACGATGGAGCATCCTTACACATTACCCAGTCCGTATCAGTATAGATATCCAGCATGAGATTTTTCCCCATTGAGATTTGATGTGTTTTCAAAGTGTTCCTTTAATTTTTTGGAGTAGTGTATATGTATATTGATATAAAATATAGATGTATAATGTATATTGGTATAACATATGTATAATGTATAATATATATGAATAATGATATTAATATATAATGCATAATATACAGTATGTTTAATGGTACAATATAATGGTAGCTTTTACCCAGAAACCTCTGATACTTCGGTAGAAATTTATTTGCATAGTCAAACCAAACAAAAAAGAAATCCACTGTGTTTTGGGGTAGTGATTTTTTTCTCTGCACTCTTTGGATCTTTGTTTCACAAAGAATATGTTGTACATTTGCTGAAGAACACGTATGAATTAGTTATATGAAGGGAGGTGAAGGAAAGGTCTGTATGACAGGATGCGAGCAGTTTCTTACCATCTGTACTCGGTACAAGATGCTTATCCCCAGAGTCATGAATGGCTTGGAGAAGTCGATGACTTTTTCCCGTTCGGCTGTGATGGTGAACGCAGCAACCGCCAGGTCTGCTTTCTGTAAGGAAAGACGGAGAGTAAGAACCCAATTAAAGAACAACGATCAAATACATGTTTATGAATGAAAACTGTTACTAGTATGTGTAGTTTACCAAAAGAAAAGCAATACTTTTTTCAGTGCAGTTAAAGAGATCAGTTTGCCCAATGAGGAAAACTGATAGGTCCTCTTATTGGGGCACTACCCATTCTAGTGATACAATGATACTTGCCTTTCCTGCTTTCTCCCCCTTTGCTCCCTTTCTCTGTATAAGCCCTCAAAAATATTCAGTACTTTCAGGTATGGGGGAGCATGTGACCTCCTTATTTTCCTCCCAGGATGCAGTGCTCAGCAGAGCCGGGACAAGGGTGGACAAGAGGGACGGCTGCCCTGGGCACAACGGTTTACTGTATAAATGGGGGTGCCAGTGAGCTCATTCTGATACAAGGCATTTTGACAAGTGGATGACTGACTGCTTGCACATAATGAAGGGGAGGGGCACAGTTTGGCTTTTTTGCCATTGGTGCTGGATGGCCTTGTTCCGACACTGGTGCTCAGGCTTGATCATTATCACATAGGGGACAGGAGAAAGTAGTTAACCCTTTGTAAACTCTGACACAGGCTGACATGAAACTTAGACAGGGATTAGACTCAGGGCTCCGACAGGTGAACAAGCAAAGACAAGCATTAGCATGTGGGGATGGGGTTGGATGGTTCTCTATCAAGGGAAACTGTCCTGGATCACCATTAGATTCCCCTTGTAATGTGAGTTCCTGAAATCTATCCTGATAGCTGAAATAATGGGAGTGCCTCCTGGATATGCTAACCCACATGGAAGAAAAATATATTTGAAAAATATTTGAAAAATATACTTCCCAAATATATTGCCATATTTTCGAAATGCTACATTTTTGGCCATATTCAATATATTTCAAATATATTTATTTATATATATATATATATATATATATATATATATATATATATATAAATATGTTTTTATTACAAAATATATGCAAAATATTTTTAAAAATACATTTCAAATATACTGTATGTCTTTAAAAATACAAATCTACATTTTTGGAATGCATTTACAAATATATGTAAAAATATATGTTAAAATGACTTTTTTTTATATGCTAAAAAAAAATATATTTTTAAAAATAAATTCTTCAGATTTTATTTAACATATAAAAAAGTCATTTTAACATATATTTTTACATATATAAATGCATTCCAAAAATGTAGATTTGTATTTTTAAAGACATACAGTATATTTGAAATGTATTTTTAAAAATATTTTGCATATATTTTGTAATGAAAACACATATCAACATGCAGTATGTGTATATATGTGTATATATATATATATATATATATATATATATATATATATATATATCTTAGATTGTAAGCTCCAAGGAGCAGGGCCCTTCTAACCCTCTTGTATTAAACTGTATTGTTGCTGTATTGTCTCCCGTTATATTGTAAAGCGCTGAGCAAACTGTTGGCGCTATATAAATCCTGAATAATAATAACAAAATTGAAATATATTGAATATGGCCAACATTGTAACATTTCAAATATATGGCAATATATTTGGGAAGAATATTTTTAAAATATATTTGAAATATATTTTTCTTCCATATGGGAATGTGCAGGGAAGGGTAGGTGGGCGTACAAGAGGAAAGTTCCAAGTTGAGTGATAATCCTTAATAGCGAAAAGAACAGGCAGCAGATAGGGATGAGCTAGAAAACTGCATACGAACAAATCTGAAATATAATGTCACCATCGTCATGCTATGTATCCTATAGAACAGTAGAAGGTGGAATGACATGAATAAGTGCACTACTTTACAAATCCATTGCCAGTTTTAAAAAAAAAAGAACTCCTATATGCATATTTCAGTTGCCTATTTAAGTGTCTGGAGTCACCCTTTAATGAGAAATAATGGTTGTCATACAATCCTGGAGGCTATCCTCATTAGCTTTCATCTGCCATAGCAAACCAATGCCTGCTAATAATCTACTGATGTCTCCGGCGGCTGCAGTGATGGTCTTGGAGTTCTCTCATCTTCTTGTAGTGACAGTATCAGTACGTAGGATGGAAGGAATGATCCGTATATATCCCTTAGGTTGATGGGAAAGTACATGACCGGAATTAATGCACTAATAAATTGCCCATCAAGGGCACGCACAGTGCATTTTGCTTAGCTGTATGCAAACAATGCAATTATAGGTTTACTATGGGTAAACACTCCGACAACTTCCCATGATATCTTCAGCTGGAAGCTATAATTCAACAAATACCCATTTCCCAACCCCCATCTTCTGTTTACACCGTGCTTCTCATTCATGCACCCTTTAAGAGCCCACTACAATTCCAACGCCATTTTATATTTTTCACCCTGCTTCTTAGTCATGCCCACCTTAAAGTGAGCTGACCATTCACTTCCCATCTTTTATTTCATACCCTGCTTCATTCTCGCACACCTATAAGTGGACCAACAATAATTCCCACTCCGTCTTTTATTTTATACCCACAATTTTAATTTTTTTTTTCTCCGTCATACAACCTTTAAAGCGGAGTTCTGCCCCGCCGCCAAAAAAAAAATAAAAGTCAGCAGCTTCAAATACTGTAGCTGCTGACTTTTAATATTAGAGCACTTACCGTACCTGTCTAGGGATCCAGTGGTGCCCACGTGGAAGAAAAATATATTTTAAATATATTTTAAAAATACATTCTTAACCTCCCTAGCGGTCTGATTATGTCAGTATTTCTGTGCTCAAAGCGGTACATTTTTTTGCATGGAAATATGTTGTTTTTTTATTGTAGGCCTGTAATTCTTAGGAATAACTCACAGAAATCTGTCCGAACAAGAGTCTAGTAAACATCCCGGGTATGATAAAAATTTTGAAACACGAAATCATAAATTATAATATAATAAATAATCATAGAAAATAATATATTTAATTCAATAATGTAATCAAACCAAAAACACTGAAATTTGAAATATAGCGCCAAGTTTGCACATCACTGAGCAAAGTCGCAGAATCGTTTTCAGTGTCTGATGACGAATTTCCCCACGAATCATCATCACTCAATTCTGCAAGTGGTTCTGATTTACTATCGCTGTTCTCTAGCCGGTCTAAAACCGCTTTTGACCTAAATGGGGGACACTTTTTGGACGCCATGGACATTTCTCAGTTTCAAGACAGAAAGAACAGTAAAAATGCAGGCAGGGCACAGGACAAAGCACTCGGGACAAAATGTATGTGAATGCTTTGATACAGTAATGTTATACTATGAGAATTTAGTGTATTGCGTGAATGTCACATTTTTTAATTTCCCGCCGGTTCCGTCCCCCGTACGTCCCGACACTTGCAGGGAACGGAACCCGGAAGACGGATGCCGGAGGAGATGGCCGGGGATGCTGCAGGGGGGACTTGTGGGAGTGAAGGACAAGGTAAGTGCTGGAGGGAATCCTTGAGCAACGCTGCAGGGTATTCCCGAGTGTAGCTCGGGGTTACCGCTTCTGGTACTGAAAGTTAACCCCGAGCTACACTCGAGAATACCACCAGGGGGGTTAATATATTCTTCCCAAATATATTGACATATATTTCAAATACTACAATTTTGGCCATATTCAATATATTTAAAAATATATTTTAATATATTTGTGAATATATTATTAAAAATATATTCAGAAAACATGCTGCAATATGTATCAAAGTGTAATTTGGAATGCATTTACAAGTATATTTAAAAATCTATGTTAAAAAGCATTTTTTTTGGATGTTCAAAAATATCTGAAAAATATATTTTGAAAAATATATTTTTAAATATATGCCTTTGAAAAATATATTTTAATTTACATTTTTGGAATACATATTAAAATATATTCATGTAGGCCAATATATTGTAACTATATGTCGCATGTATAATTTTATTTTCTAAATATATTTCTAAAAATATATCTTTTCCATATGGGTTTCTTCGCCCCGAGCCGACGCTTTAATCGGCTGTTGGGTGCTGATGACGCCATCTTGACTAAGGGAAATTGGCAGTGAAGCTTTGCGGTTTCACAGCTGGCTTCCTACTGCGCATGCAGGAAGCGTGCTGTGCTTTGTGAATGGCCCGCAGTTGTTTTGGATCTGTGAAGTGTCCCAGAGGGCTACAGGGGGGGATGGGGGGTGCCGCTGCAAACTGAGCCGGAAGTGGGAGTGGGTTCCTGTCAAAACCAGGTACCCGCTCCACCCCCCAAAAGGTGCCATGCCAAATGTGGCAGCAGAGGGGTTAGGATGCAGATAAGCAGAGATTCCACTTTTGGGTGTAACTCAAAGCTTTAAAGTGGGCCTATTCCAACTATCAGCATCATATTCTAGTTTGCATACTACTTCGTAGTCATGTACAAGGTGGTATTAAAATGTTTCGAGCTTAGTTCTGTAACACACCAACAGATGGCAACACAAGGCTGCACGCGCAGTCACAGGGAGCACAAACATACATAAGTCAGTGTGCCAAAAGACATTGTCCCGTGTACATCGGGAGCTGTGCAACTGGTTCTGTTCTGATCATGTTCATTACCACATCTGCTATTTCATCATGGACAGCAAGTTAGAACAAATGTGAAATTCTGCGTGAGACTAGGCAAATCTGCCACAGAGACGTTTGACATGGTTCGGCAAGTTTACGGTGATGCTGCAATGAGTCGTATCGAGGTATTTTGAGTGGCACGCGTGCTTCAAGAGCAGAAGAACATGACTGGAAGATGACGAGAGACCAGGAAGACGTCTTCCCGAAGATGAAAGTTGATCCAGGGAATATCCTTTTTTTATTGTTTTTTTTTTAATGGGTGAACTGGATGGACGTATGTCTTTTTTCAGCCAGACTAACTATGTAACTATGAACATCCAGATCAAAGTTTGCCATTTTGACAGCATTGCTGAGATCCAGCACTTTGCCCAGTTTCACGCAGAATTTCATGTTTGCTCTTTGTTCTAACTTGCTGTCCATGATG